GGTGCCCCCCGTGTACTGCGACAGCTGCCTGCAGGCCCCCGCCGCGCAGACCTGCCTGACCTGCACCGCCTCCTTCTGCCTGCAGCACCTGCGGCCGCACCAGGACAGCCCCGCCTTCCGCGACCACCAGCTCTGCCCGCCCCTGCGCGACCTCCAGCAGCGCAAGTGCCCGAAGCACAACAAGCTCTTCGAGTTCTTCTGCAGCCAGCACGGCAGCTGCATCTGCTCCCTCTGCCTCCTCGGGCACAAGCTGTGTCACACCAGCCCCCTGCAGCCGGCCAAAGTCAACGCCGAGGTGAGCGACGCGGGCAGGCGAGGGCTGGAGCACCCTCCGAGGGGCATCCCGGAGCTCCCCTTTGCTCCCCCGGGGCCTGGTGGGTCCCTGGGTGCTGGGGTCGCAGGCTATGAAGTGCCAGGGGGAGGCTGGACCAAGACCTGAACTGTAAGTCTCATGCCTGGCCTTGGCAAACTGTGACCTGCCCTTCAGTGCACACTTGGGCGCGTCTTCTGAGTCGTTCCTTGTGTTTTCCTCCTCTCTCGAAGATGGTGCTCTGAGGATCTGGGAGGGTGCTGTCACAGGGTTGATTGCCAGTTCCTGTTTTGAGCTGGGCTGAGCGGTGATGCTGCCCAACTGTGTGGGTGTCACCCCCAACTCCGAGCCTCCTCTGCTGCTCAGGGCACGGGGTTTGCTGTGTGGCCTTGCCGCAGAGTGACCGAGGGACTGCAGACAGACATTGCTCTCTGTATGTTCTTATGAAGCAAAGAACCATGAAGGTAGCCTGGGGAGAGCTCTAGCATGTAGATAAAAGCCAGAAGCAGGTTCTCAATAGAGTGGAAGAGAAGGAAATTTGGCCTTCATATCTTCCAGCACAGCTGAAAATCAGAGGGTTGATGAGTAAAGCACACTTGAAAAGTTTAGGTGGCCAAACTCTCATCTGTTCGGCAAATACATATACTGCTTACCCTACCACGTCCTCCCTGATTTAGCTTAGCAGCATCTTGAACTAAAGGAACAGGTAACACATCCAGGCAATAAAATTCTCAAAACAAGAGGGGTGAACAGTAGCGTTAACTTAGTGCACAAAGTCCAACCTGAGAGCTAACGTAGAATTTGTTCTTTGCACTGGGAACTACAAGCTGATGAAAGCAGTTTCTTTTCTCAGTCTTTATCAAAAGAGTGAGTCAGCAGCGTGCAGGAGAGGAGAGAAGAGGGGAGGTGGAGCGTTGGGAGAGGTGGAGTGGCAGGGGGGAGGGGACGCACGCCAGTGCTTTTACATCCTGTTCAGGTTTAAGGGGCAGCAAGTTAAATCAATAGTACTAAATGCTTACAGGAATTATTTAAAACTTTCTGTAAATACGATTCTTACTCCAGTAAGCATGACCCAACTGAGAGCAGACATGGCAATTGCTTCTCTGAAGTACTTCTTGATCTCTTCTGTTGCAGTCGGTGCTGAAGAAGAGACTGATGGAGCTGCACAATCAGAGTGAGAGAGCTGCTCGAGCGATGAACACTGTGAAAACAAACCAAAGCCAAGCTGCTGTAAGTGGGTAACTGTTCAAAATGCTGTCAGGTTGCTTGCTATATGCTGGCCACTGCGTGTTGTGGATGCTGGTGCTCTTGTGACAATGGCTGTGGCGAATGGAGATTGCGTTGGCAAGAGAAGATGTTATTGGGAAGGAACAGAAAAGAGGCGTTTTGGCAGAGCCAGGCGGCTCCATGGGAGATGGGACTAACCCAGTCACCACACAAGGGCTTTATACCCGCCTGTGCTGACACACCTGGACCATAACAGGGCTCAAAACCATCCTTTCCTGTTGCACCAGAAAGTGCGTATCTGTGCAGCCCGAGCTAAAGGATTAGTGAGCTGTAATGGCTGCACCCGTGCAGAAAGTTGGGATGTCTCTTCCCCATAAATCACTACAACTAATCCTTGCTCTTAGCTGACGATCGGAATTGCCATTTGTGCTGACAGCTGGATCGAATGTCTCACTTGTACCATCCTTTCTGAACCAAGTGGTTGTCCTGGTTTCAGCTGGGGTAGAGTTAATTTTCTTCTTAGTAGCTCGAATAACGCTGTGTTTTGGATTTAGTATGGGATTTGGTATGAGAAGAATGTTGATAACACACTGATGTTTTCAGTTGTTGCTATGAAATCAAGGACTTTTCAATTTCCCATGCTTTGCTAGTGTGCAGGTGCACAAAAAGCTGGGAGGGAGCATGGCTGGAGCAACAGACCCAAACTGGCCAATGAGATATTCTATATCACGCAACGCCACGCTGAGTATATAGATGAGGGCTGGCTGGGAAGCTCACTTTCTGTCTTCCGGGACTGTGATTTCAGGATTTCTCTCCTCTGGGATCGCTAGCTGGGGACGGGCTGGGCGTTGGTCAGCGGGTGGTGAGCAATTGTACTACGCATCAGTCGTTTCTGTATTCTATTATTATTATCACTATTATAATTTTTATTTAATTTAAATTATTAAATTGTTCTTATCTCAACCCACAAGTCTCCTCACCTGTACTCCTCTGACTCTTTCCACCTTCCCACTGGGGCAGCGGAGGCTGAGCAAACGGCTGCGTGGTGTTTGGCCACCAGCCAGGTTAAAACCATGACAACGGTAGAGACCAAGAAACTGAAAAGCCCCCGGGGTAGCACTTCTGTGCTCCTCTGGAACATCTCTTGGAGGATCAGGAATTTCTTTGTATTAACCAGAGATGCTACATCTCGGAGGCAGAAACAGCTACAGCCGTGTGCGGTGTCCGAGCTCGCAGTGGCACAGCCCTGTCCCCGTGCTGGTAACCACTAGATCGCATGGCTGGCCCCACAACAGGGTCTGGAGACTGACAACTGGCCTGATTTTTTGGAAATAAATGAGTTTTCTGTCCAAACTACATAGAAATACATTGCTTTCCTATTGCCTGTTTTGAGTAATAGAAGCCTACATGTTCCTCAAAGGCTTGTAGTAGTAGTAAGCAGTACTTTGTCCACAAACTGTACTTTTGAAACTAGTGTCTGTCTGTTCTTGTCTGCTCCAGGAAATAGCTTCCAGAAAGAGAGATTTGATCAAAAATGAGTTTTCAGAAATTAAAGCTTTAATTGAAGAAAGAGAAAATCAGACCTTAAAAGTAATTGCAGATGAAGAAAAAAGAGTTTGCAGTAAGTTTGATTATATTTATGGTGTTCTGGGAAGCAAGAAGAAAGAAATTCAGTCTCTCAGAGATCAGATTGAGATGGCACTGACTGAAGCTGATGACATCCTGTTTCTGAAGGTAATATGTCCTTTAGATGCAAATCCAATTCTTTGTGTTTCTAGAATGCCGAATCACAAAACTCTGCTGTGGTAGTCCTGCTCTCCAGACACTTTCAGTGAAACGATGCAGTCGTGTGTGACAACCTGCTATACCAGGATGTACTGATAAGTACACAAATATCAATGAAAGAGTGCTGAAATGAAGTGGTGTCTGGTAACCCCCCCCAACTCAGCCTCTGCCACAAGCAGAGGGGACAGTGAGTGAGAGAATTCATCTCCAAGAGGTGTTGCAGCTCCATGCTGTGACACTGTCTAGTAAATCTTTCTCATTGCTTCAGATATCAGTTAAGAATTAATGCATATGGGTTGCTGCTGAAATTTTGCCGTGGGTCGTGTCTGACTGTAGCCTTTGCTCCTTTGAATTTGAGATGAATGCACAAAACCCATTCCATTTAAAGTAACTTGGTTGTATTTTTCTATGTCTGCTACACAAGGTGGTCTGCATGAGATCTGTTTCTCATTTCAGAGAGCAGCAGCACTGCAACGAATGTCAACAAAAGATGCTTTTGTTCCTGTAATTGAAATGGACCAAAACTTGATGCTTTCCACTTACCAGTCTGCTGTTAACCTTAAAGACATTGTGAAACTTTCTGTGACTCAGGAGAAAAAAGTAGAAGGTACTGTATCACTGGGAGAACTGGCATTTTCTGCCTTGTCTTTGAGTTCAAATAAGGCATCTTCCCCCTCCAATCCAAATATGACTAAAAAAAAAAAAAGTGCAGTAAATACAGTTAGTTAATATAAATTGTCTTCCAGCTTCTGTGGTCCTCTGTTTCCAAACCAAAATGCTACAGTCTGGGATAAACAAGGAGAGAAAGTGTCCCAGTGGCTCTTTACTTTTATCTGTATTTGGATAAGCTGAAGAGTATCGTGATACTGTGCCCTCTGGCACAGCTCAGCCTTTATTCCTTACAGTAATTTATGGTTAATATATAGCAGGGTTGGATGCAGGTAGGATGTGGATTTGAGGGGAGACATAAAACGCTTTTGAGTGATAGGACTATGGTTACCCAACTATAAAGGTGCTGATTGTTTACGTGTTGTAGAACAAAGCCCTACTTACTGGGTTAAGCACAAGTATCTTTTGGATATCCTCCATGCAGCTTCCATCTCTGCCAACTATAACTTAAGTTCTAGTCACATGACTGAAAAATAAGATTGAAAAATGTCCTTGTTCATGCAGTTGTGTTCCTGGCAATACAAACCATAATGTAAAATATCACCATTGCAGCAAAACCAACACTTGGGAAAACTATGGCTCCTCCAGCAGCTTTTCCAAACAGAACCTTGGCTGGAAAAAAGCCTCCAGGACCACGTAAGTACTAAAGAACATCATCCTCTCCCAACTGTGGTTTTACCATTAAATAAGAAAGCCAGCAGCTACCCAAGAGCTGTTTGCTCTAGCATTGGTGCAGTCGTTACCTGTAGTGAGCACTTTGGCGTGGGAAAGGGAGGGTGTTGGGGCTATTTAGTGACGGATGCTGTGTGAGCTGTAAAGCAGCAGCCTGCCCAGATGTGGCGGTACGTTAGCCTCAGTGCACGCGTGCACCTGTAGTGGTGTCAGAGCAGGCTCTAAAGCTAAGCAGAGCCTCCCCACCCTCTGGTTCCTGCAGGGTTTTTTTCACTTGTACTAAACGTTTGTTGGTTTGTTTGATGGATTTGTATGTATTGAATCCTGCTTATGGTCTGTTGTTTTTTTCTTTGCCTCACAAGATCAAACCCACAAAGAGAAAACCCTTCCCCAGACTCAAACCGTTCTGCAGGTGGAGAAAGATACCAGTAAGTGGTGATTAATGGCAGCCTTACTCAAACATTTTGCTGGCCATGTCTCGCTTACAATTCAAGGCTGAGGTGATGGAGACAGTCTTTATGGCAGGTTATACTGGGGCCTTTCAGTGTTGTTTTGTCCGGATACTGGTGTTAGTGTGGCATTCTAGCCTGTCTGGAAGATCTTCCATGTTCTCTCTTTGGATAAGTCCAAGTGTTAAGAAACTATTGTTGCTTCCACTGAGTTCTTGACACATGGTCCTTTCTGTTCACAAGTCCTGGGTGCTGAGCACTCAACAGGGTCTGTTTTGGATTGCTGGAGTTGAATGAACTTCTAGCTCCTTTTGCTGCACTAGATCTGTTGTAAAAAAAAAAAAATAGTCTATGTGCCTCATGGGAACAGGCTTATTACTACTTGCCCTAACACTCTGTGTCCTGGAGTAGAGATGAAGCTCCTTCCAGGCTTATGATGTTGTGAAATAGAAGGCAAATACTATGTTGTGCTTCATGTGTAGCTTTTTAGTATGGGTGTATCTGTACATGGCTTTAGCATGCTGGACTGTCAGCTTTATCTCCTGCTGCAGCTTCAGAAGGTCCATGATGACAGTGTTGCAGCTGGCACAGTCTATCAAGGGCTTTTCAGTCTCAGTAGAACTCAGTTCACTTTTTTCTTTTTTTTCCCTTTTTTCCCCTTCCAGAGGAGAAAAAGAAACCTGTTAAAGTCGGTGAGTCCAAACTTTCAGCATACTTATTCTAATTTACATTGACTGGTCTTAAAAAGCTAAGTAGATGGTCACTAGTGGCGGTGTATTAAGCAAAAGTTCAACTCTTGCTCTGAGAAGGTTCTTACTGGTCCCTATGAGAGCGATCAAGCACTGAAAGAGATTGCCCAGAGACAACAAGGGATTTTCAAAACTTGAGAAGACTGTGAGCAACCTGAGCTAATATTGAAGTTAACTCTGCTTGGAGCAGGAGGCCAAACAGAGAACCTCGAGAAGCCCATTGCACCCTGAGGGTGTCTGTGACTCTGTTAAGCACATGGAGTTTCTTCCCAACTGACCTAACTCTCTTTTCTTCTGTCAACACAGCACCAACCCCAGGAACACTAAATGCTGCAGCTGCTGCTTCAACTAAAGAGCTTCTTGACAGCTTTCTGAAGAAATCCAGAGAGGAGCTTTTGCAGTGTAAGACATCCAACATTACACTACTTAAAGATGAACCTTCTGCTTTGGTATTCATGTATCTTTACGAAAGTAAACAAAGTTTTCTCAGTAATGACTCTCGCCCAAACAAAATGACTGTTAGGGTAGCCCAGAAATACGATGTAAAACACAGGATTTTCTGTGAAATGAATTGTAGGCTTTTATGCGAGCCCATGATGGTTTGCTTAAGATGCTATACCAGATGGTATACAGTATGGCATACCTTTCACTGCCAGATCAGCAATTCCCTTCTGCCAGCATATATTTGGGTGTGAAGGAATCCCATGGGGATGCAGGAAGGAAGGAAACTTGCCCTCCGTTTGCCTGCTGGGTAACAGAGCTGCAGTTGAACTCAGCAGACCTAAGAGTTGCTTGCCCTGTGGAGGAGAGTGGAGCAGGGAGATAAACACGCGTAGGAACAAGTGCCTAGGCAGGACGGCATAAATAAAAGTGCTTTGGTCTTTGGTACCTTCAAATGATTCATGTCTTTGCAGATGCTGCTAACATCACGCTGGATTACAACACGGCTCATAATAAAGTGATTGTGTCTGACAGATACACCAGGATGTCTGTCTCAGACACCCCCATGAATTATAACGACCACCCTCAGCGCTTCACCGATTGTTACCAAGTGCTGGGGTTCCAGTGCTTCAAGAGAGGCATCCACTACTGGGAAGTGGAACTGCAACAGAACAACTTCTGTGGCATTGGCATCTGCTACGGCAGCATGGACCGGCAGGGGCCAGAGAGTCGCCTGGGGAGGAACAGCAGTTCTTGGTGTATTGAGTGGTTTAATTCCAAAATATCATCCTGGCATAATGATGTTGAAAAGCGCTTACCCAACGTGAAGGCTACTAAGATCGGTGTGCTGCTCCACTGCGAGGGAGGGTTTGTGATTTTCATGGCTGTTGGGGAGAAGCATAACTTGATCTATAAATTCAAAGCCCAGTTTACTGAAGCCTTGTACCCTGCCTTCTGGTTGTTTTCCAGTGGCACTGTTCTCTCTCTCTGCCAAGTGTAACAGTAAGGTCTTGTATCTTAGTTTACTTTGTCTAGGTACTTACATGCAAGTAATCAGTCATGCAGCAAATCATCTCTGTATGTCTTAGTCTAGGAAGTCTCAAAGATTGTTTGAGACAAAATTTATTAGCTCTTTTAAGCGGTTTGGGATATCTGCTGATTCTTTGGTCTGAATTGCTAAAGCCTTTAGATAGTGATTTAGTAAAATGCTCATGATAGTAAAAACTATAATGGAAGGTTTTTCAAAGACCTTGATAGTCGTTCTAAAAGCAAAGTTATGATACAATCAATTGTTAAATGTTTTCAGTAGCCACTGTGGCTTCTGTGGTTTGCTGTAAAGGATCCCCAGAATTAATTTTCAGGTCTAAATGTGTTTCACAGGTAGCAATAATCTCTTTGAGAAAGAAACAGGAAGAATTCCTTGATGAATTCAGGTTCCAGGCTTTGAGGTAGGTCTCAGTGTTGCCTTTTTCTCTGTACACAGACTGTTGTCCGTAGTCAGAATCTGCAATAGTCTCAGTGTATGACTCCATGAGATGTTACAGAAAGAATCATAGAATCATAGAATGGTTAGGGCTGGAAGGGACCTTCAAAGGTCATCTAGTCCAACCCCCCTGCAAGGAACAGGGATATCTCCAACTAGATCAGGTTGCTCAGGGCCTTGTCCAACCTGGCCTTGAACGTCTCCAGGGATGGAGCATCCACCACCTCTCTGGGCATTAAGAACTATTAAAATCAGTCAGTTCAGGTTTTATGACACTAAGTTATAAAAGCCAATATGACAAATCTCATCAGAATGGA